CCAGTGCTGCAGGGACAAGAGCGTTGTGGGCTGAGATTTGTGTGGGACTGGAGGAAATTCCAGTGTGTGGCATCAGGGGCTCCTCAGCTGACTTCTCCAAAATCAAAGCAGCCTTTTCCCTTCTCTGATGTGGTTTCAAAAGCTGAATGCATGAGCAGTCAATGTTCTCAGGCCTTTCTGCCTCGATGTTCTACACCGTGGTTTAATTCCAATCTAATTCCAAATTGCACCACATAGCAGCTTCCTGGAAACTCAGAATTGGGTATGGGAAATTCAGCATTATGGGTGAATCAAAGAAAAAAAGAGAATTTACCTTTGTGTGTTGAATACCTCCTTTTTTGCAATACCCTTATTTTGTGAAAAGTCCTATTTTCACGGGTGGAAAAGCAGATTTTGTTGGTGCAGTTGTAACCACTGGGGTTTGGTTGGGTTTCAATGAATTAATTCCTGTAATCTGTGGATTACAGGTTGGGTCTATTTTTGGAAGAGCAGGGTAGGGACAGGACTGACAGATTGCCCTGAAGTGGCAGATGGCATCGCTTCCCCAGGCCCAGCTTTGTAGGGCACGGCTTAGATGTGCTGCTGAGGGGAAATAGAGCTGAATTTGCTGAACTCTGTCATCTCCAGACAGAGCTGGGCACCCTTCCTTCCCTCTGTGCCCTTGGCCCTTCCTCGGTGTTTTATGGGGTTTGGTTTTCACACTTGGTGTTAGCTCTGGATATAAAATCCCTATTCTCAGAGAGCATTTCCCATCCATGAAGTTATTACCTGTCTACAGTGCACAGARGAAATTTTTTAAGGAGTTGAGGGGTCTTTTTTGAGGATGGAGGTGTCTTCAAACATGTGCAGACACTGAAGTCTTCAAAAGGCTGCTTTATATTTTACTGTTTGCTTTCCATGCTGAGCTGCTTTAGGATGCGGGCTTTTATTTGATTTTAATTTTAATTTTCAGATATTGAAATAATTTTAAATACTAACATCACCTTTTCCCCTCTTTCTCTCCCCTCGCCTCTTCAAGAACCTTTTTAAAACGCTGGGGTTGCTGGAGTGGTTGAATTTTTCCTGGCTTTGAGTGAGAAATTCAGAAGACTGAAGCCCAGGCTCACTGTCTACCTTTCACGGAGGCCCAGCCGTGAGAGGACAGAAGAAGGCACGTGGCGAATCATGACAGCAGACAAGGAGAAAGACAAAGACAAGGACAGGGACAGGGACCGGGACAAGGAGAGGGACAAAMGGGACAAAACCAGGGAGAGCGAGAACTCGCGGCCCCGGCGCAGCTGCACCTTGGAGGGAGGTGCCAAAAACTACGCCGAGAGTGACCACAGCGAGGACGAGGACAATGACAACAACAGTGCCACCACCGAGGAGTCCACCAAGAAGAGCAAAAAGAAACCMCCCAAGAAGAAATCGCGCTACGAGAGGACGGACAACGGCGAGATCACGTCCTTCATCACCGAGGATGATGTGGTGTACAGGCCTGGAGGTGAGRAATGCTCATTTGTGGGGTTTGTTTTGGGAGGGTTTGTGGGACAGAGCTGCCAGGGAGGGCTGCAGACAGCACAGGAATTATCCCAGCACAGGGTGCTCTCTGGAGTTATCCCAGCACAGGGTGCCTTCTGGAATTATCCCATCCCAGCATGAGTGTTCCCTGTTATCCCAGCCCCGGGTGCTCCCTGGAGTTATCCCAGCCCATGATGGTCCCATCTCAGGGTGCTCCCTGGAGTTATTCCAGCACAGGGGGCTCCCTGGAATTATCCCATCCCGGGGGGCTCCTTGGAATTATCCCATCCCAGGGTGCTCTCTGGAGTTATCCCAGCACAGGGTGAGTGTTCCCTGTTATCACATCCCATGGTGCTCTCTGGAATTATCCCATTCCATGGTGTTCCCTGTTATCCCAGTCCACAGTGCTCCCCATGATTATATCATCCCATGGTGCTCCCTGGATTTAGTCCAGCCCATGGTGGTCCCATCCCAGGGTGCTCTCCATGATGATCCCAGCCCTTGGTGTTCCCCATGATGATCCCATCCCATGGTGCTCCCTGGATTTATTCCATTCCATGGTTCTCCCTCTTATCCCATCCCAGGGTTATCCCTGGATTTATCCCATTCCATTGTGCTCCCTGTTATCCCATCCCATGGTGCTCCCTGTCATTATCCCACCCCAGGGTACTCCCCATGATGATCCCATCCCATGTGCTCCCTGGATTTATTCCATTTCATGGTGGTCCCTGTTATCCCATCCCAGGGTGGTCCCTGGGTTTATCCCAGTCCAGGATGTCCCCATGATGATCCCAGCCCAGGGTGCTCCCTGTTACCCCATCCCATGGTGCTCCCTGGAATTATCCCATTCCAGGGTGCTCCCTGTTATCCCATCCCATGGGTGACTGTTCCCTGTTATGCCACCCCAGGGTGCTCCCCATGATGATCCCACCCCAGGGTGCTCTCTGGAGTTGTCCCAGCCCATGGTGTTCCCTGTTATCACATCCCAGTGTGGTCCCTGGATTTATCCCACCCCATGGTGCTCCCCATGATGATCCCATCCCATGGTGCTCCCTGGATTTATCCCATTCCATGGTGGTCCCTGTTATCCCACCCCAGGGTGCTCCCCATGATGATCCCACCCCAGGGTGCTCCCCGTTTTGGGGTGCTCCCCGTTTTGGGGTGCTCCCCGTTTTGGGGTGCTCCCCGTTTTGGGGTGCTCCCCGTTTTGGGGTGCTCCCTGCCCTGGGATGGGATAATTCCAGGGCTGTGCTGTGTGGGGGCAGCTGCAGCTCCATCCTCCCCCTCCCACAGCAGAGCTGGGCAGCTCTTTGGCACTCAGCTCTGCCAGGATTAGTCAGAACAGCTTCTCTCTCGAAATGCTTCAGCTTCAATTGCAACTCATTTCATCAATCACTGCAAAGGAGCTGTTTTTGCCTCGCTGTCAGGGCTTGTGGCTGAGTAATATTTGTTTTTGAGCAGTGGCAACTGGGAGCCTGCGGAAGCGTCAGCTTTGGTGGCAATCTTATTTTCAGTGTCAGAGGATGAAAAATAATTCAGAATCTGTTGAGAACAGCTGTTGTGTGGGCCCAGGAGTACAATGTGATACACTGGCTTTATTGCAAAAAGAGTTTGCTTAAAATGAAGATGGGAAATCAGTTTGTGGTCTCAGTTTATGCTGTGGTAGGATGGAGCGTGGCTGTGGCTGATCCAAGGAAAGCCACAGTCCTTGTGATCATTGGGGTATTTTATAACTATTCTGTAATTTAAAAACCTGCTTATTGAATTTTACATTTTGCTAATAAGAGATGTACCCTGGCATTGGATCTTTCCTGTTCTGTTGGCTCTTTGTGCTGGTGTAAAGCTCATCTTGGAGGCTGCTGAGAGTGATGAGAACAAACATTAGCTCAGCTCTGGAGAGACCTGAGCGTGGCTGAAACCCTCACTGAATACACCATTTATACATTTGATTTAGAAGGTAATTTCGTATCAGGATTGAGATATTGAATGCACATTGCTGTGCTTGATGTGTTCTAAACCAACCTTAGTGTCCATTGCAAAGGGAGCTCTTGCAGCTCCTCACATCCAGGGAGATGTGTTTGGAGCTGAGGGTGCAAATTACATCAAATTTAAGAGGGATTAGAGAGTTTAAATTAATGAGACACAGCAAGGATTAGAAAGATGGAAATTAAAGGTGTGTGCAGAAGGGATAGCTGTCTTCAGCTTCCATCTTCCGGGCTTTAAGGAAAGAAAATCCTTTCCAATCAGTTGATTCTTTCTCTTGAAAGCTCTCATCTGATCTGGATGGAAGTTCAAGGTCTGCATTTCCCTCCTGTGAAGTCCTTAAATCTCATTCTGTGTTTACCCCATTGCTGTGCAGTGCTTAATCCAGCCCTTAATGCTGCTTTTTGCTGTGCTGAGCTCAGCAGCTGCACTGGAGCAACAGCAAATAAACTGTAAATAAACAGAAAATCAACATCATTGAGATTTTGTCGAGTGCAAGGTTGCCCTGCATTGTTCCCGTGTAAATAGTGCTCTTATTAATTTGCACAGATCTAATGAATGYGTGCACAGCTTTAAATAATGTATTAAAAGGAATTGAGCAGGGCTTAGACAACACTGTGCAATTAATCTTCTCTGCTTTGCTGGAAATCACACAGGCCTGTCCTAAAAGCTTGTTGGCCCAGTTCCCCATCTGTCCTCTCAGTTTCCACAACCTCCCTCCCATTTCCTTCCCAATCTAATCTCTGCCGTTTTCTTTCTTTCTTTCTTTTTTTTTTTTTTTTTTTCTCATCATTTTGCTGTTGTCAGAATTCCTGGTGGAGTAACATTAATTTTTGTTGCACGGTGTGTATTCAAATTTGCTTTAGGCTTCCTTAGCATAAAGTGATGATCATAGAATTGAGTTAAGACTGAGAGGGTTTTTTCTCTCCTCTTGGATTTCAGTTTGATTATTTAATGCTGATTTTCCTTCCATTTCCCAGGCAGATGATTCCCTTCTGTGCCAAAATCCACCTCAGGAAGGGCCATTCCTGTGTTAAAGCCCCAGAAGTGGCACTGAGGATGGTGGCACCAGAACTGGGTGAAAGTCTGGGGAAAAGAGGTGACTGTCACCTGGAGATGGGGACGGGATTGTTTGCTTTGCCTTTTAAATGTAGAAACATTTGAAAGGATGTGCAGGAATTAGAGGGATTTGTGAGGATGTGTTTGTGCAGTGACATCAGCAGCTGTGTGAGCAGGAGGGGAGCCAGCCTGAGGTTCCTTTGTGTCCCCCACATTCAGAAATGAGAGCCCATGGAGAGCTTTGGGTGCAGGGTGTTTGTGAAATATCACTGAGGAGCACTGGGAGCAAAYGTGGCACCTCCAGAAAAAGTTTTCTGTGGTGTTAAAAGCAGAAAAAGCCCATTACAAACAGCACGTGTGCAGCAGAGCTGCTCTGTGTCAGAGGAGGAGCTTTAGGCTGACTGATTATTTAATTAATTTCTTTTATCAGCCTAAATTCTCATTCCCACCCCTCCTCTCTTTTCATATGTTTGATTTCAAAAACAACTCCAAGACAGGAGGACCCCTGCACGGTGTCTTTGCTTTCAGGGTGGTGTTTTTGGTGGCACAACTTTCTCTAAAAACCTGTTTGCTTTGTCCTAGATCTGGTAACGAAGGGTGTGAGTGTTGTGGACATGCTTGAGAAGTGCAGGAAAATAATTGGTGTGGGAAATGATGTAGCTGGAGCCCTGAGCTGCAGAACAGTTGCTTTTATGAAATTGGGAGCTGCAGAGTACAATTAGCTGTCATTAATTTTGTTGAATAGAAATATGTTCCATTTATTGTACAATCAGGAGCCAGGCTTGAATGAGTTTAAATAGATGAAATCTAAATTATACTGACAGTCCATTAAACAGCAGCAAAACCCCTTAAAGAAAATGGATTCACTACGATACCRGTTTATAATAAAATCATTTGCCAAATAAGAACTATAGTGCAGGCCTTGGGAATCCTCCTGTGAGCTTCAGTAAATTGGTTGAAGCATTTATTGCAGAGCAGGGCTGGAGCCAGCAGTGGTGTTTGAAATGTGCTCAGCAGGCAGTGGCACCGGGAGATCAGGCTGGCAATTTGGTTGTTGTCAGCCATATGGGGGGAGAGGCAGCAGCTCAGCTCAGTTCAGCTCAGTTCCCTACCTGTTCCTGGGAATTTTGTTGTGCTCCTCACCATGAACCTGGCACTGCCAGGGCCCCTCTCTGCCCCTGCTCTGTGCTGCTCCAGGGCTGTCCCCATCCCTGTGACCTTTCTTTGCAAGGCTTTGGMCGTTTTCCTGTGCTTGGAACGCATGCAAGTTCAGATTTCAGCATTTGGAACTCCCTGAATGTTGATTCTGATCCTTTGAGAGGTGCCCCATGYTCATTGATGATCTGCTCCTGATGCCCTCGAGCCATTCTGGGGGTGCTCAGGGGTTCTGGTTTTCACTTGGGGCTCCTGAGACCCTTTGGGACTCACTTCCTGCTGGCTTTGGCTCAGGCAGGGGAGGATTTTGTTTGTGGGGAAGGATTCAGGATTTGTTTGTGGGGAAGGATTCAGGATTTGTTGGTGGGGAAGGATTCAGGATTGCTCAGGGGATTCAGGATTTTGTGGGGAAGGATTCAGGATTGCTCAGGGGATTCAGGATTTGTTTGTGGGGAAGGATTCAGGATTGCTCAGGGGGTTCAGGATTTGTTTTTGGGGAAGGATTCAGGATTTTTTTGTGGGGAAGGTTTCAGGATTGCTCAGGGGATTCAGGATTTGTTTGTGGGGAAGGATTCAGGATTCCTCAGGAAATTCAGGATTTGTTTGTGGGGAAGGATTCAGGATTTGTTTGTGGGGAAGGATTCAGGATTGTTCAGGAGATTCAGGATTTGTTTTTGGGGAAGGGTTCAGGATGGCTCAGGGGATTCAGGATTTTTTTGTGGGGAAGGTTTCAGGATTGCTCAGGGGATTCAGGATTTGTTTGTGGGGAAAGATTCAGGATTCCTCAGGGGTTGGCACAGGGCACTGGGACCACTGAGCCTTTTAACTGGAGACACCAGCGTGGAGGAATGTAAACATTCTCAAATTTTGGGGTGTAAATACCCTTTAATTGCTGGTCCCTGAACTTGGATTTGGGGTTTATACACGTGCACACCTGCAAAGAGTGAGCTTGTGGCTGGTGGAATCTGATGGGAAGGGATGTGGAGAATTCCTTGAATGGCTTTCCAGGAAAATCTTCCCTCTGGAAGTGTGGTGCTGTGCAGAGAGCTTTGGGCTTTGTTTTTTGGATGCTGCAGGTGTTGACTCTTTAGGTAAAACACAAAAGGATTCTCATTGTGAAGATGGTTACAACAAAACCCACAGCGTTTCAGCTCCTAAAGATTCAGAAAATGGAGCTGCTTGGGGTATTTTTCCCAAAGATTTTTTTTTTTTTATGTCCATGCATTGAAGCTCTAATTTTAAAAGCAGCTTTTAGTGTGGGAATATAAATGTAACCCTTCAGAAGTAGGGCACATCTGGTGAATATCACGAGCCCAAAGGCAGAATGACTCTGTACCATGTGTCGGGGAAATGCTTCATCTCCAGTGGGACGTTTTACACGGAATGGGGAAGTGAGCGATGCACTCATGGCTGGAATCAGCCAGGGAACGCAGGGAGCTCAGCATTTCCTTCCTCTGYTTWGCAAAGGTTATGGAAAGCCCTTTTATTTTGATTTTGTTGGTTATTTTTCTTTCCCCTCGGAGCATTTGCTGGTTTGTCTCTGCTGAGCTGTCACTGATGAGATGTTGGGTTTGTCTGAGGATGGTGCCTATGGAGAAAACCACAGGGGGAATTTGTAGTGTGGCCCTTTCTCTCGTGCCTGCTGGCYTTTTCCTTGCTCCAATTTCCTGCTAAATGAGGAGCCCGGGAGCGTGGCTGTCCTGCACTGAAAAAATTCAACTGCACTTGGCTGAGGCTGTGTGAGCCTGTGCAGAGCTCTGTGCAGCCAGGTAGGGCTGCAAAATGTGTGGGGTCAGGGGGAAAGG